AGCGGCTGGAGAATGTTGAAGGTGTTCGCGTCGAAGGAGTAGTGTAATACACACGCACACATGCAACGACAGCTCGAGCACGCGTCTTTCCATGAGTAACAAAAGCACATAAACTGTCCGCTGTACTCATTCCTTCTTCTTCCACGTCGACGCTAAAGTATACATACACACTTCGCATGGACAGACAGAAACCTGCGCGCCATTCGTACCTGCCGTTTCTACCGATTACATCAGTAACATCAGCTGAGTTGTGACCAGACTGTCGAATGTCGAAGTAATCGTCAGAACGGGCTGGAATAGACGCAGTAGTAGAAGTACCTGCCGTTTCTACCGATTTACATCAGTAACATCAGCTGAGTTGTGACCAGACTGTCGAATATCGAAGTAATCTCACCTCCTTGCACGAACCCGTTGCAAACTAAAATCGTCGTTTCCTGCTGAGAAGAACACCTCGTCTATGCGATGCACTGTTGAGAGCGGGTACACGATCCGTGCCTCTCCAGTTCCTGACGTGGCATGAGCCAACCACTTCCTTATACCCACACAACAAACGAAAACTGTCCCGATACGGCAACTGTACTGAATGAGTGTTGATCGTAGGTAAGAGACACGGGTACGGCTTCCGATTAATTAGAATTCTACCCGGTTAGACATCTGTGGGTAGCGTACCCGAGACATGGTTTCTTCTCCAGCTCGAACTAGTTGGAGTCAGTTATCCAGCTGTACGACTGCCTTTCTCACCAACGCCATTTGCGACTACAAAAACCTTTTGCTGTCATTACTCTTGCTATATGCATCCGTTTGAGGGCAAAGATCTATTCTCGCGGATATAAGAACCGGGTATAGCGCCGCCTACCGATCAAACCTAGGAAGCTATATATGATACCAGCCCGTGCATCCGTATTGGCACATTTTAGTCCTGGTCGTACAGGTCTTGAGTGCGTACCACAATAGGCAATTTCGCAGTTCGGACCGACAGGCGTCGAAACTAGGCGTCAGACACGGCTACATTTGCCGGCGAGATACGCTTCATGTAGTGTACCAAGGACTCTATCGGCGTTACTGTGACGCTACAGTGGCTAGTTACAACAAGGAAGGGAAAGAGAACGACGGAGTTGATGAGTCTGTACGGGCTTGAAGTTCATCGTTGGATACCGTGGTATAGATGCAAAGATTGCAATTTTATTACAGCTATATGAGCACCGTCCATTCCGACTTCAGACCAAGGAAAGACTACTGTTACCTAGTGGCCCCAACAAGGAGTCGAGACATCCAGACATCGCGGTCGAAGATCCTCAGCATCCGGGCGGAAAGCATAGAAAGCACATGTGATACGAACGCCTTGATTTTCCTTTGAGACCTACCCGTACCCACCCAGAGAAAGATGCAAGTAAGTAGTATTGAGGCACCGTCGCAATGCTAAAGGTCATTTCGTGAAGCGTTAATTAGGGTTCGTCGTGTTGTTGAAGGTGCCCGACATGCCTCGATTGGGCATGGCAGGAGCGTTGTTAGCAATCCCTGATGACGGTACTCGCGTCATAGAGGGTAGCGCAAACGGTGGGGCCGGTGCAGGAGCTGGAGGTTTTCGAGGTAGATGTGAAGGTGTACCATACTTTGCGATGCTGCTTTGGGATGAACCCGGGTCACCAGACTGAGAAGCAGTTCGGTTCATGGATATGGCTGAGTTGTTTCCCTGCATACTTTGAGGCGACCCAAACGGCGGTGTGGAGACAGCGGAAGGGTTAGGTCTTGACATCTGTCCAGGCATAGAAGCCTGGGCAGACATTTGATATCCACCATACCCATTCATCTGAGGCTGTCCCTGCATCATGTTTTGTTGCATTCCAAAGGGCATGTTACGTCCACCAGGAACAAAAGCTTGGGTTTGCGGATTGAACTGACCCCGGTTATAACTTCCAGGAAGAGGGTGCTGGTTGCGGTTGGGCTTTCCATTGTAAGCATTTGAGGCGAACTGTCCATATGGGTAGCCAGGCATCGGTGCCTGGTGAGGTGCGGACATTGGCCGGTTGCCGGGACCATTCTGGGCACCATATGCGCCCTGACCCATATGGAACGATGGCTGCTGGTTTGGTTGAGACCAGCCCGAGTTCATAGGCATATGTTGAGGTTGCTGATAGGTATCTTGGTAAGACGCCATCTGTGGATTGGCCATCTTTGGGGTGACCTGGGAGGGCATACCAGCGTTCTGGAACGATGACATACCCCGCTGGAAGTCCGTTGATAGATCATACCCATTCGGCATCTGTCCATAATTGGGGTAGGTCATCATCGACCCATTGGGAGCCTGGTACTGCTGACCAGCCCAGCCATACTGTGACTGCGCTTCCGGGGGCATCATGCCCGGATACGGGTTGCTGTATGTTGCCGGAGGCGATGCACCAGGGTTCATAGTCGCGTACGGCGCGTTCTGAGCAGGTGCTGGGTAGCCGTTGTAGTAGACCGCATTGTCTCCAGTATATGTAGCCACAGGGTACTGTTGCGGGTAGTAAACATTGAAGCGGGATCGAGCCTGGAAGTCGTCGTCGTCGTAGTTACGCTGCTTCTTGGGTTTCTTCTTCCCGGCAGCTGAGCTTGATCGTGAGATGTCCTTCCCTTTTTCTTTGTCTTCTCCGGATCCGTTGGCTTCGGCCGTGCTGGGCTCTTCACTTTCCGCACTACCAAAGATGCGCTGACGAGCTTCACGATATCGCGCCTCTCGCTCCTCTCTGGATAGAGCGGCTTTGTCTTTGTTGCCTTCACCATCGTTGCTGCCCTCGCTGCCACCCATTTCAGAGGTCGTCTTCGAGGCATTCTGCGAGTTAGCTCCAGTGTTTGTACCCGATTTGCCATCGTCGCGACGCATGATCTTCCGAGCAGGGAGCTCTACGGGAGGTGTATTGGTGCCCTTGGCGGGATCTACCATCTGTGAAACGGGGGGAGGACTACTAGTAGTAAGCAACAGAGCACGCGAGCGAAGCTTGATGAATACATACATTCTACAGTAAGGGGTACGTGTAATTTTTACACCCGTCATGGTGTTGTCAACTACATGGCCGAGCAAGTAGTAGTCGGCAAGACGGTGAGCAAGCATCCTGTAAAATGTATTACAGTTCGGCAGACACAATTCGTTTTCACTGCGTACCGTCAGTAGGAAATTCTAGCAGATCCGCCACGCATGACATACCGAGAGTCTTTGATGAAATCAATGAAGTCCTGTTCTATCTTCACAACGAACAGCCGATCACGTGGAGACCGTAGCGCCTCGAGCAACTTCTCGTCTGGAATGGCGGGCATGTTCGGGACACCATTCAGTGAAGGCATGCCGTTGACCAGAGGCTGTGGCATGGGCCCCGCGCCGTTTAGCGACTGGTTAGGGTCGTACAATGTTTGCGGACCATTGGGTAGCGTCGGAAACCGACCTGCGGGAACCCCTCGATGAGGTTGAGGATTCATCACAGCTATTTCATGTAACTGGTCCCGAAAGGCACGCGCAGCGCCATGATCAGACCCCTGCCTAGAGTCTGCAACGACCGAGTCCGGCGGGGACGTGACGTCCTCTTCCTCGACTGCCCTGAGGCTAGCACTGTCATCCGGGCGTAAGGACTCCTTCTCGTCCAAAGCAAATGTTGTCGCAGAAGCAACACTCTTTCCATCAATGCTGGGAGGTTTCCCAGATCCATCTGATGAAGATAGCTGAGTGCTGCTGTCCTCGGTGACAGACACCTTTACCACAGCCGCAGACTGAGGCCTGTCGGGGACATCTCCTTTTGCATCCGTGGAGCGTGTTTCTAGAAGCTCAGCAGGACCTGTCTGTTGCGCGGGCTGCGATATGGCATTTTCAGCGCTGCTGCTCGCATCGATATCCTCTCGCCTTTCCGCAAGTATTTTGGGTGCTACTTCGCCATGCATGGGTGTGGCGCGCGCCTTCTGGGCGACTGCGGGTATTTTGGGTGTCGCGACAGGCGGTCTCGCTTTCGGAGCGGAATCCTTCGACATCTGAGGCTTTATGGCGGAAGCCGCAACCTAGCGCTGTTAGCACACCGCCCATGGAAATTGCTTGTTGAAATCCTACCTTGGCGAACGACAGAGGCCTTGGAGGCGCTTGTTCTGTGGAAACCGGTGTCGCAGATGCCATGGCTGTGAGGCGATTTTTGGTACGGTAGAAGACTAGATAGGTGGTAGGTTGCGACGTAGATGGCCTATGCGCAGTGCGCGGTAGGTGCCCAAACGCGGGGACGGCGAAACGGGCTTTCAGGCAGTCTCGTAGCAGTAAGGCTGCTGAATGAAGCGACAGACGCCTGCTGGTGTAGCCGAAAGAATCACCAAGCTCAACGCCGTACGTGGGTCGTCGTGGACGAGAATGAAGGTGGTGTTAACCGAAGTGATGGACGTAAATTTTTTCAGGAAATAGGGTGCTCAAGGAAAGTCGCGATAACCGGAGCCAGAAAGCTGGACATGTTGGTGTGCCGACATTCGTGGGAAAAGTGTAGAGGTGTATGGGTTTGCTGGGAGCCAAGGTGAAGTAGCCTTGACGACAGGCCTGCAACGACGTAGTTTGGACGTCTAGCGTGTAAGAAGCTGCCAAGCACCCAGATGTAGGGCGCGAGACAAGGGACGACGGGTGAATTGGGTCGTCGACGGGGAGCAGTACAGGGCGGGCGGGGACCGGGCTGTTATGCGGGGTGCAGCGCAAGGCGAGTGAAGGATAGAGAAGCGATGATGGAAGCCGCCCGTGGGCGGGCTTAGTCATGCCGCTCCGCCCAATTCTCCGGCCAAGCTGAAGCTGCGCCTTACCGCATGCGACCAAGGCCCGTCGCGTTTCCTCGCCGAAAGTGACAGAAGAAGATTGAACTTGGCGAGGCTTGATTGCGTCTTTACCGGCTGCTGCTCTGACGCAAGAGTCGCGTCGTGCTCCTTTCCCTCCATTCCCACGAGCAATACCAAAGGACTTCGCCAACAAACACCCTTTGGATTCGACGTGTACCGCATCCAAGTCCGTCATGTTCCGTCGCCCGGGTGCAGGCCGCTCCAAGGCTTCCGCAGATACTCTTTGCCAGAAGTGCTTGAAGAGAGGACACTACAGCTACGAGTGCAAGGCGCCCGCACAGGAACGCCCGTACAAGTCTCGACCTTCTCGGACACAGCAACTACTCAACCCCAAACTGCAGCCTAAACTCACCACCGAGGTACCCGAAGACCTGCTGCGCAAGAAGGGCGTCGCCGATGAGATTTTGAAGAAGAAGGAAGAGGATCGCAAGCGCGCGCGCTCACTCTCTACGTCGTCTGCCGACTCTGTCTCGACCATCTCGACCAACCGCTCCCGTTCCCGCTCGCGATCTCCCCCACGACACAAGCACAACGGACGAAGACATCATGGGGACCACGACAAAGCGCTGCGGAAGCGTAGCAGGCGCTCGGTCTCCATGGACTCGCGCTCCTCACGCGCATCCGACACTGCAGACAGGAACACACGGCGGCGCATGAGCTCCTTCAGTCCTGGTGAGCGAGGCCGCCGAAGAACCAGATCCAAGTCAAGATCCAGGTCAGCGCGCATGCAGATATCACATGAGAATGCCAGGGGAAGAGCGCCGCGAAGCATGAGTGATAACAACAGGTCGCGGAGCAGGAGTGCAAGAAGAGACAGGCGGCGACCAGCTCGACGGTCAGTCTCAAGATCGCGGTCGGGGAGCGCAGATCCCATGGATACGTCAGACGAGCGTAACCCACCAAACGGAGCACCAAGAGGCCAGCCAAGCGTCTCGCATTCAGTACATCGTGAGCCTTCCAGGTCACTCTCGCCATACCATAGCAGTCGCGATCGCAGCCCGAGTCCCTACTCCAAGCGCAAGCCTGTACGCCGATCGCGTAGCCCACACGAGGCAAGCAATGGAGGACGGGCCCGTGACAGTCCGCGTGGACCGGCAAGAAACCGTTTCGACGATCGGGCAACCGTCGCGAACAGCAGAGTTGCGCCGCCGCCAGCGCAAGCACCCCCACCCTCACAAAGAGAGCGCAGCCTGAGCCCATACAGCAAGCGTTTGGCCTTGACCAAAGCCATGCAGTCAGGGTAGACAGAACAGGGATTTTGTTATTTGGGCAAATGGCCAGAACTGTATACCGGCACTTGAAAACTTGCATTGAAAGTAGACGGTGGGCAAAGGACAGTCGTAGCACAATGGGTCCACCTCATACAAGAAAAAAACTGAACAGGTCTGCAGGCTACATTTAGCCAAGGCCTTGCAAAGGCGGTGACCCAGCGCCAATGTAGGCTCCAGGCTGTTCAAGTTTTTCCTAGGTTGGCGTGGGTCATAATGGTCAATCAAAGTCGGAGGCGCTATATTGGCTTCTGTGGGCTGGGGGTCTGGGACTGGACCAATACTAAGCATTGTGGGAAGGCGTTTCTTAATAATTTAATTGCCAAACGAATAGAGTCAAACAAGCTTTTGTATTGTTCTTTTCGATTGTTCGTACGCCTCTTCTTTCTTCTTGTTCAAATAACTTTTGTATGATACCTATTCCTCCTCCTCCCACCTGATCACCGTCCCGATTCTGTGCCAACATCAACCAACTTGACGGTACTCGTCCCATGTCTTGACATGCCATCTGCCATGTCAACTCCCTCACCTTCAAATGTCAATAAAAGAGCTGCTCATGGTTAATTACCAGACGATTACTAACAACATACCGAATTCCAACCGTAGCCCTTCGTCGATGAAAGGCTACGGTTTGTATGAACGAGGCCTCAATTGCGTTACCGAGGATTCTCAGTTGAATCCGAAGACCCACTGTCGTATCGAGATAGGATCGCGACCAGACGAGTCCTCTGTAATGTTCTCTTCCATGTAGTTGACGACTGCGGAGGGCGACTGTCCGTATACCCACTTGAAAGCATTTTCAATTATTCCAAGGTCATCATCCCCATAACTATCGTAAATGAGGAATCTCGCTGCGAAATCGTCCCGAGTCTGTTGATGTTGGATATATTGCCCAAACGTGATGTCGCAGCGTTCCCGAATTTTTCCAAAGTCTGCCATGGCCTTCAGGTAAAATCTCCCGAAAGCGAGCGCTTGGCGGCTCATCAAGTCAGCGCGCTGTATCTGTCCAAGGACATTGATGTAGGCTGCTTCAATGATAGCGTGCACCAGGTCCGAATCCGTCAAGCTTTCTAGACAGTCCAGGGTGATGCTGGCGCATATGTACAGCTTCATCGCGCAGTCCACGATGAAGGCCAAGAGGACTGTATCAGGCTTGTTGAATCTACCATGCTCGATTAGCCCCAGTGACCATAGGGTCTCTTCAGATGAAAACCATGGTGTACCGTAGGGTCCTGGTCGTGGCATGAAGGTATTGACTGAGGGTGCTTTAGGGGCGCAACATAAGGGCAGCACCGTCGTATCATCTCGGGAAGATCTCCGGAGTTGCTGATTAGAATCTCCGAATATCATGGCGTGATGACTCGCGCCTTCCTGGGCCGATTGCATGTGGAAGCTGGATTGATGTCGACCTGCGAAGATCTGACCTGGCTGAGGATCTGTGTAGAAAGACATACTGAACGATTCTTAAGGAAAGACGACAGTACCCTTGCGATATCGGAAAGCCTTTATACATGCTATCGATGATTATCTGTTCACTTGCATCATTGGTATTATGGTTCGACTAGTGATTTTTCTTGGGGTGCATGGAGAACCTTGGTTGACGCGAGCAAGACACGCAATACTCTAAGAAGATACTGGAACATGATGGCCCTTTGTACAAATCAAGATGTGATATGAAGTATCTCCCGCGGAGTGTACATAATGATGATGAGGTGTGTTGTTGGCCAAACCCGCCCGAGGTCATGACGCGAAGACGGACGGGAATTGCGAGCTAGGTATGCCGCTAGCGCGCCAAGCAAATTGTTTGTCCCATTCAATTTTCTCCGCGAAGCTCCTGCTCTTCTTTTCTTCACATATTGTCAACGGTCTCCAATAACCCTAAGGTCCTTCCTTTACGAATGGATTTGCCTTTTCCAGAGCAGACCCAGAAGAAATGCACAGCCGTTCTAATCCTGCAACTCGTCCACGTCGACTTCGGTCGGTATTGGAGTTGCGGGTTCGCTTTAGGCCAACATACTTCGGTGCGCACCAATCTCAGGGGCCTTGTGACCCTGATGTCGACGCCGCCGTGATGAAGAGATGTAGATTTCATGGCGGAGATAATTCCCTGATGATTATTATGCGTGGCGTTGGGGCCTATATGCGTTGATCCGTCACCGGTATCTAGGTCCGCCCCCACCTACTGGTAACCATAAGCTGCATGGAGCTGGAAAAGGAACCAACCATTCATGGTGATTGGTTTGCTGCTGAAGTTCGTTGTCGTGCGGACCTAGACTGTTGGGGTCAATGGCTACGAGTAATGCTGGAACACCCAGCTGAAAGACTCCCCGCGCCTCCACCCTGTGTCACTCCACAAGAAGCGAGATACGCAGCTTTGGATTGGCGGACAAGAGAGCGGCTGAGAAGCGGCTTCGGATTCAGCCTGAGTACGACGCCAGACCACTGGTTCCAATAACGGCATTTTCTTAACCTGTTGCTTTGATTCGGTCGTCCATGCCACACGCGGTATTCGTCGCAGCAGGGCACACTTGGCAGGTCGGCGCCGCATTTTCGCTGACTCTAACCCAGACCTATGTCTTTCTTCGGTCAGACGCCTCTGTCGGGGCCTGCAGATCACTCGTGTTTCCTATGCTGTGACTCCATTGGCGACCTGCGTCCCACCGCTGCTTGTATGGCTGACAAGAGGGTCGCCTAGCAATATTACGATGCAGTCAGATCGGTAAACCGGATTGCATCCCAACGAAGCGCGCCACGAACGACAATCGCGGACCTTCCACCTACACGCTCCTGGTGCCTTCTGTGAAGCACAATCACAGGCCTACACATCTCCACTCTAACGTCTGCGGCCCGCCCCTCTTTCTACGGCATCCTACAGCTGTCATTGCTTTGAAATACAGACCTCACGCATTTCCTGCGTCTCACGTGTGCATGTTCAGGAACGTCATGAATGCATATCATGGCCTTCAATCTTCCAGGCGTGCTTGTTCTACTTAGCCTAATCACCCAGTCGTCATCACAGCAGGATGATCCCGTCAAAGGATTCTGTCGAAGATGGGGCCACTCAACGGCGCAGGTCGACTCAAGGCTTTACATCGATGGCGGTATGATAGGACAAGTCCCTTTCAGGTCAAACTACTCAAGTAAGTGAAGGTCGAAATACTTCTCGATTCTGTTTCAGCTGTCTAACTATCGACCCCTAGATGATTGGCTCTTGTTCAGTGATTTGAACACTTCGACCGTCGATGCGGGAATGCCAATGCAGTCCGCATACTCAAAGCCCGGTCATATACCTACCGTTTCAGGCGGCTATACTTGGGCAGATGAAACGAACAAATGCTTCTATCAATTCGGCGGAGAATTTGCCCCAGGCACTAGCCCCATGGATTTCAGCATGTGGACCTACGATGTTCTTCTCAACCAATGGAATACTACTGAGACAATTGGCGAAAAGAATCCGCAACGAGTATCGTATGGCGCAGGAACGCAAGTCGAAAGTCGTGGGCTGGGATTCTACTTTGGCGGCTGGCTCAGCAATAAAACAACACCCGGCTGGACTGGACCCCCAATGGCTACGACCGGTCTGATGCGATTTGACATGTCTACCGGCGACTTACAGAATACAACCGGTCCAGATAACATCGGGAGAGCTGAAGGACAACTAGTATTTCTGCCTGTCTCAGATAGCGGCGTGCTCGTTTATTTCGGTGGCATCGAAGACTCGTACCGCAACGGTAGCTTTGACGCAGTAGGTGCAGATGGAACCCCAGCTAAGTCTCCGTGCTAACTAGTCGTATCAGGCAAACATGAGTGTATGTCATCGAGAGAGCTGTTATGTCTGGCAAAGCTAATCTATCTAGACCATACATGTCTACGACATGGCTTCGTCAAAATGGTATACACAGACTGCTTCCGGCGATATACCTGACACCCGGAGGCAATTCTGTGCTGATGTCACCTGGCCCGATGACCAGTCGTCTTTCAACATGTAAGAAAATCTTTCTGGTTGTACAGCTGTAGAGCATCTGAAGTCGGCTCTGGAGATCGTCGATATACAATCAAAAGAAAGGTCATCAGAGCCCAAGATTTTCCAAGATTGCTCAGAATCTAAGAAGTCGCTGGGATATGCCACGCTGCCACGCTGCCACTGCTGCAGTATCGTCTGTAGACTTAGTATACAAAGTGTGCTATGTTGATCGAGTCTGCTGACGCGCAACAGATACCTATATGGTGGATACGGCTTCGAAAAAGCAGCAGCGTACGACGACGTCTACATCCTATCGCTTCCATCATTCACATGGATCAAGGTCTTCAGCAGTGATGATGTTCCCTCTCAAGTTGGTCACGGCGGTTGTAGCGCAAACGTCGTCAACCATGCGCAGATGTTAGTCATAGGTGGCTGGTTTCCCCTCTACGACAAATGCGACGCACCCGAGGGACAAGGACAACACAATATGGTTCTAGGATACAACGGTGGGGACTCGAAGCTTTGGGACAAGTTTAGCCCTCAGCTGGACGACTACGTAGTACCTTCACCTATTATTGCCGCAGTTGGAGGCGGGTACGTCTTTACGGTCCATACCAAAAGTTGTCACAGCTAATAAGAACAGGCCTACCGGAGGTGCTACAAAGACTTCGCCAGCAACCTGGGGCCATCCAGATCTCGCTACTTACTATACACTCAAACCTACTTTCACAGCAAGATCGGCAACTCGCTCTCTTCCCTCAGCTACAGAGTCAGCATCTGGTGGAAGCTCAAAGAAGTCAAACGTAGCAGCCATCGCTGGCGGCACAGTTGGAGGACTGGTGGCACTAATTGTCCTTCTGTGTCTTATACTCTTCTGCTTACACCGGCGAAAGAAGTCTTTGAAGAAGAATGAGGCCGAGACTCCATCTAGTCTCCCACCTGCTGAACTTGCCACCACGGTTCCCCATGAGATGGCCGACACGGATGCTAGCAAGTATGTTTCCATGCACGA